GAAGAAAAGACCTATTGTTGAAGAGATCGATGTGTGGGGTGTAGATGAGTGCAAGAGATCTTTTTTTTTTTTTGATGCTTGAGGTTGAGATCCCTAGACATGAGACACTAGACATACTTGCAGGGTTAACATGTAGGCTTCATTTCACCTGACAACACAGTTAAAGCTAACCCCAGGTGTGTAGAGAGGAGCAAACAAGGACATTTCTGTATCATTGCAATGTTTTGTTAATAGTTATTGTCATAAAGTAGTGATATGTACATTCCGCCTTGACTTGTACTGAAAATGGTGTTCATGCTGTACCTTGAATGCAGTGTTTCTGACTGAAGATACTTCATCATGACTACATGTACTATGTACTAGAGCTTGTCTGAAATGGTTATACCTGTTACAGTAATACAGTGTCTCCTACAAATAAAGACTTGTTTTTTTTTGTTTTTTTGATACACTGTGTTCTGTGGTTCAATTCGTAATACCAGCTCCGTAGTCCTGTGGTTTTAGCAGCATTTTTTTTTTTTGGCAAGATTTTTTTTTTTTCGCCCTCTCGCATTAGTTTTGGGGTCTCCAGAGGATGTCATCCATAAAATTAAATCAGTGTGGCCTTACCAAGCTTTAATTAGGTAGGAGTCACTGTTGGTAATTAGTGCAAGTTGTGCACAGATCAAAACTCATACGTAATTTCCATTAGAAGAGCGCATTGGATTATGGGAAAATCAATGTTTATCAACACAAATGTTGTACATGCAAGGTGCCATCATCCTTTAATAAAGATGATAAATTTGAATATGCATCGGTGTAAATGTTTATTTTATTCAATGTATACAAACTTTTTCATTGCAACATAGAATAGTGATTGATAGTCACACTAAGCTTATATACAATTTACAAATGTATTCATGTTTTGTTATATTTTTTGATTATGTATCTGTTATACATGTAACTGATATTAGCAAAGTCTATATAACGGGACACTTGACCAAAAATATTGACATTTCATCATATCCTTTCAATAATGGGAATTAAATTAGCCATTCGCACAAAATTGTCTAGTGTTCATAGAAAGCTCGTTTCACCTATCTATCTAGTATGAATGGTGTTTCAGAATGGCTTTTATTTTTCCCTCATTGTTAATGTCACACCTATAGGCTGTCAGTGTCTGTGTATTCATGGCCAACAGAAGTTTCACATTAAGTTTAATTCTGCTGGATCTGTATTTAGATTTTGTTGGTTGCTTTGATAAATTCAAATTTCAAAGGAACTACTCAATTTTTAATGAATATTCATGTACCATTGAAATAAAAACATTCCCATATTCATTCAAGCAGTGACACTCCCTATCATTCCTATCTTGTCACTCATATGGAGAATACTGGTATATATACATAAACGCATACCCTAAAGTCACCATAAACAGCTGTTCTCTTCAGCATCCGATCAGAATAGAGTAGTGCGTTCTCAACTGCCTTCCACGGCGCATAATCTACCTCCTTTATCAGATACTCCATCATGTCTAATGACACATTAGCACCAACATCTAAAGACTGTGCAATATTGAAAACATCATCCACTAAGGCAGCTCGATTACGAATCGATATGACACTGTGTTTCGTTTTTAACTGATTAATTAATTTACTCCAATTATCATTATCGTAATTTACTCGGTAGTAACCCATTTGATTGATGTTGACCAAGAACCAATCAGATTCACGAGCTCCAGTCAGGTCAAATCTTGCTGTGAAGTAAAGAATCAATACTAAATCAGTTATGTAATGAAATATACACAAGGAAAATGAAAAATATGTGTTTTGCAAATAACATTCATTTCTCGAGAAGACTAACGGTGTTCTCAATTTTATTTGTTGCATCTATTATTACCTATTCTACTATACCAATGTCTAATCACTATGAATACATTACTGTGATTGGACGAAACTCAAGGATAATTTATGCAAGCTATTATTAAACACAGCACAATGCATTGTCGAATACTGGGTTGTGATTTTTCAAATTAGGCCCCAGATCATGAATTACAAATATTGATACTAAACCAGAATCTTTTTAGAAATTTGTTTTATGTTTCAGCTGGGGAAAGTAAAACTAAAATGATGGACATCATAATTATTTATAAAATGGAAAACCATATCAATACGAGAGAAATAGCATTACAGTATGCTAGAAGTGACAATGGCACTTGGTGTAACTCAAATTGTAAAATGCTATGATACATGCATTAGTTTTATGCATTGTGCATTATTTTGGCTTACAAACGAGGGTATCGTTTTATTTAACTCACCTGATTCCCCTTTAATCCATACAAGTTCAGGTTCATTCAACTTATTTGAGTGAATGTAGGACACAGGGATTGACCAGGGTCTGCAAAGAAATGTACAATACTGTACAGCTTTCGGGAACTCATCAATTATAACTTCTACCATAGTCACTATTACTCTATGCTTGATGTCACATTTCCCAAAAGATATCTACACTAATAGGAATGTTTAAAATTGACTGTTCCTTTGTTAACATTGGATGTAGAAGTGCTATAATGCAAGACAGAAATAGAATGCAATCCCTGAATGCACACAGTTGCAGAGTAAAATGTTTTTTTTTGTTTTTTTTTTGATATATGATATATGTGTGATAGGTCTAGGGATGTACGAGATATGGCTCTGTGGAACTGCAAGATGGCCACCAGTCAGCCATTTTGGGTTTGATGGTGACAAAAATGTAAGTGCATGTGCCTGATACAATGTCTGATGTACATTGTATGTATGAAGTTTGGACTTGATATTTTGAATATATGGATCATTCTTTAACACAAAACAGCCATTCTGAACCCTATCTGAAAAATAAAGTGGAGTGCATTAAGGGCTCATTCTATTTAACATATGTACTATGTTTGAACACAATCTGTCCATGCATGATTGAGATCTTGTTCCGGAATGGTGAAAATGTATGATTTTAAAACATTTTGGGCCTTAAAAAGGCTGCAAATGGAACACATTACCATAGTAATCATGAAACATGCGTTTATTTCAGATATATTGCATGTGTGAAGTTTGAACTTGATTCCTCCAGGCACGTCAGATATATGGATCTGGAACTACATTCTTTGAAATAAAATGGCCGCCAGTTGGCCAATTAAAACATGAACTGAAACATAACATGATGTGCATCAAGGTCCCATTGTGTTCAATGTACATGTTTCAACCAAATCTGTTCACACACATATAATTCGATTTTGATGATTCAGCCATCATTAATTGGATCAAGAAAAAAATTTAATGTACAGTATGTGCATGTTTCTGATATAATGTCTGATGTACGTGTGAGATGGAGCTTGATGGGCCCAAGCATGTGTGAATTATAGATAGATATGGACAGACAGAGTAGCACACAGAGTAGAAAATACATTATACC